GAAACAGATAAAGAAGACTCGCAGCGATCTCTCGACGACGATTCTTCAATCTCTGATCCCAACAAAATGATCATAGAACTACAAGACGAAAGTCATTACCCAAAACTTCAAAGGGGATTTCAAGTTATCTACCAAACATGTTTCTCAAACCTATTTATCGCTGTCTACAGGAATAATTTGGTCCACCTGGGTTTGGAATAAGTCTGAATATGGTGATGGGAAATCGGGATTCCAAAGATCAATATCAAATGCATTCGCCTTCCGTCATTCTTATTCGAGCTTTTTCTTTTTTTTTCTCTTTTTCTTTTCTTTTTCGTAAGATTTTTTAATTTTTTTTTTCGAAATACGCGTTGGACGAATGCATGATATGATCAAGGAAAACGAACGTAAGAACAGGGTATGGGTTTTGGAAACAGGGCTTACTTTTCGCCTCGTGATGATTGCTGCCACCCCCGGACTACTTGCCTGTGTGTCTAGACGAGTCAAAAGAAATAGAGATAGAGCGAGAAAAAGGGCTCGCTAGACTATATAGGGCCTAATATTCCTGTAAATGGGGAACGGTTTTTAGGGAAACATATACGCTTGGGTTAGAAAGCTTTCATTCCCTCTTTCATCCTAGGCAACGACTCATCTCATAACCTATAGATCATTCCTCAGGTCAAGCTACCTTTTCGGATAAGTCCGACAATTCATTCGGGCGCTTAGATAACTAAGCCAGGTTCATCTATACTCTCAAGAGATTTCTACTCTATCGCTCATGAATCTTCTAACTAATCACCTGAAATAGAGTTTTTGTAGTTTTTCTATGCAAATTTACTAGATGATGTGCTTAAATGCATCAAGGACTGTCAAAATGGGAAAAACAGGTTGTCAGACTACCCTCCCCCAGACTTGAACAAGACACCGTCCGCGGTGTCAAGTCGCCCTTGGAAAAGGGAAAACCAGCGAGAGAAACAAAAAAGGGAACGGGTAAAAGAATACTTAGCGTGAATGAATGGCGTGCTCCCTCATGGTACTCAAGGATCGAAGAAAAGGCTCAGACGAAATCTCACAGCTCTCAGCGTACGCGTGGAATGTGATGCGACCTTGTAAACACATAAAACAATAGCACAAACCAAAGCAACACAGCAAATAGAACAGGCACGAGTGATATATCGTCAAGTCTGAAAAGTACAACTGATAATCCCAAATAAAACAGACTGAAAATGCAAAAGCAAAAGAAGAAGAAAAAAAGGGAAAGGGGGAAAAGAAAAGGACTACCAAACGCTCACTACTTCGGAGGTGGTGGTGGTGGTCCTGGCTGATAATAGTATGGCGAGTACGGATATCCAGGTGGAAGGGGGATCAAGGGGCGTCGCTGTCGGCTGCATACCTCGTGTCATAGCGGCGATGAAACTCCGTGGCGTACTGCGCCATCTGATGCTGCTGCTCGCGGAACTGCCTCTGAGCGTCGAACTCCGTCCGTATCATATCTCCAAAAGACTGGAGCTGAGCGCCGAACCCGTGCATAGTCGTCTCTATACTCTGCATCCTCTGGCTGAGCATGTCAATCTGGGCAGAGTAGTCAGGAAATGAGTGAGAGCTCGGATCCGGTGGTGGAGAGGGAGGCATGTCGAAGGAGAAGTCCTCTGAAGGAAGGGGGTAGGACTGAGGAGTCCGGAGGGTTGGTCGGCATCTGGCATGGCAGCATCGTCAGCGGGGACATCGTCAAAGGGGGCTCGGAAGAGGAGACCGGCCTGAGTGATCGGCGGTAGATGGGGACAAGGGAGACGTACTCGCTGGCGGTCACCTTGACGGTCCAGATAGTTCCAGTGCCAGCGTACCGGCCGCTCGGAGAGATGAAATTTCTAGACCAACGCAGCAATATCCAGGAGAGTGTGGCCCGGGATCACATCGTCTGAATAGAGTCCGACATCAATGCCCACGCGACGAGCAATCATGGTTGCGGTTCGACTCTCGTACGATCGAGCAGCGATAGCCTGCCAAAATGCTTCCTGACGCTGAGGTAGAAAAAGAGAGAGCTTCGAAGATGTACCTGGCTCGATCTCGAGGATATCGGGAACTGACGCATTGAGAGGCGATACTCGTTATTCCTCATCCGAAAATCCATGAAGGCATTCGCTGTGCCGCCATCGCTCGGAAAGTAGCAATGGATGGTAGAGAGGAACTCCAGAGTCAAAGTCTTGAAACTCTTCTCATGTACCGTCAGAGAACTCAACCACCCGAGCATATCAAAGATACGAACAAACTCGTCATGGATTCCGATGCGATCCAGATCGTCACCGAAAAACTTGGTCGGTTGTAAGCCTTGTTGTTTGAGTTTGAGGTAGACGGTCTTGGTGCTGTTGTCCCGGTGATTGATCCGAAGAACGCCCGGTTCAGGTCGGATCGGCGTGAGGTCGGTAAGCTCCATGATGGCGCCTCGGCGAGGGGCCAAAGGTTCGTTGTCCGGGAGCGTGCGGCTGTACCGACGCTTCAGGGCTTTTCTGGGGCGGCCTTCGATCTGTCCTGTGTTCACCATACTCGGAGTTAGGGAGGATGAGATGGAGGATTACCGGGTACAACCGAAGACGTCGCCGGAGTGAGGAGGCAACGGCGAGGCGGAGGGGCGGCGGTGAGGCGAGGAGTCTGCGAGGCGAAGTGGCGAGGCGGAGGGGGACCGAAAGGGATCCGGTCGCGGGGGTTGAGAGCTGCGGCGGAATGAAAGATGGGCACGGTGGGGAGAGGCGACGCGGGTGGTGGTTGTACAGCGGCAGAACACGGCGGCGGCGGCGAGGGGGAGGGGAGAAGGGGATGACACGGCCGAGTCCTGCGAAAATAGATTAAAAAGTCGAAAAAAGGACGACGACACGGTCCGTGTAGATCGAACACGGTCCGTGTCGGGTGTGTCGAATGAGTAAAAAACGGCCGTGTTGAAGTAGAACAGGGGCCGTGTTAAATCTCTGTCAAAAATCCGTGAAGTGAACACGACCGTGTTTAGTTCAACACGGGCCGTGCAAATTGTCTCTTGAAACCGCCAAATGAAACATGACCGTGTTTAAATTGACACGGTCGAGTTACACGCAACACGGGCCGTGCTGAATTTCGGCCAAAATTGAAAGATGAATAGTCCGGTGACCCGTGAGACCTGAAATAGCAAAAATTGGACCACGAAAGAAGATATAGCGATGAGCGGGTAGAGAGAATAAAAAGAAAAGAAAGAGAAAAATAAAACTAATATATAGTAAGGATACGGGGTCGGGTTGCCTCCCGACAAGCGCTTGTTTTAGGTCGTTAGCTGGACCCGGCAAGGATTCACGACTCTGCGGGATCGGAGAGAGCGATGGCGCCTCTCGTGTCCGATGGAAAAGCAGGATTGTAGAGCTTCAGGCGTTGAGCGTTAGTTAAGAATGAACCTCCGGAATGATCCCATAGTTCGATTGCACCACTTGGTGATACAGATTTGATCTTGAACGGACCAGACCACTGGGATTTCAACTTTCCTGGAAAAAGTTGCAATCGTGAGTTAAACAAAAGGACAAGATCGTTTACCTGGAAGTTACGCTGGAGGATGTGCTTGTCGTGCCATTTCATCGTCCGCTCTTTGTAGATTTTTGCGTTTTCATACGCATCAAGGCAGATTTCCTCAAGATGATGGAGCGAGAGAACTCGTTTCTCGGCTGCAGATTTGAGATCGTAGTTCAACTGCGTGATGGCCCAATAAGCTTTGTGCTCCAATTCCACGGGAAGATGGCACGACTTGCCGTAGAGGAGTTGGAACGGTGTCATCCCAATGGGGGTTTTGAATGCCGTGCGATACGCCCAAACGACATCATCGAGCTTGAGGGCCCAATCTTTTCGGGATCTGGATACCGTCTTCTCGAGTATGGACTTGATCTCACGGTTTGAAACTTCTACCATTCCACTGGTCTGAGGGTGATAAGGCGTTGTAATCTTGTGTTTGACACCGTATTTGAGCAGGAGTGCTTTGATCGTGTGATTGATGAAGTGCGATCCCCCATCGCTGATGATGACACGGGGAACACCGAATCATGGGAAGATCGTGCGTTTGAACATGCGCACCACGATCTTGTTGTCGTTCGTGGGACTTGTCAGGACTTCCACCCATTTGGTCACGTAGTCAACTGCAACCATAATGTACAAATTTCCGCAAGAAGAGGGGAAAGGTCCCATAAAATCTATGCCCCAGACATCAAATGGTTCTACCTCAAGAATATATTGTTGGGGCATTTCATGACGACGGGATATATTACCCGTATGCTGGTAAGCGTCACATGAAGAAACAAACCTGTGGACATCTTTGAAGGGAGTAGGCCAATAGAAACCGGCCTGAAGGATTTTTGCTGCAGTTTTGGATGTAGCAAAGTGGCCTGCGTAGTCAGAAGAATGACAATGGGAAATAACACAGAAAATCTCACCTTCAAGAATGCATCGGCGGAATAGACCGTTGGTTCCTCTCTTGAAGAGGAAAGGGTCGTCCCAGAAATAGTTCCTGACATCGTGGAGAAATTTCTTCCTGGCATTGTAACTTAGATCTGGTGTAAGAATTGTACTTACCAGGTAATTGACGTAATCAGCATACCACGGGGCCTCTGGAAGAGTAGAGATGGCGAAGACGTGCTCATCGCGAAGATTGTCATCAATGGAAAGTTGCTCGGGAAGTTCAAGGCGTGACAAGTGATCAGCTACTCCGTTCTCGGCTCCTTTCTTGTCCCGGATCTGAAGGTCAAACTCTTGAAGAAGCAATATCCAACGGATGAGGCGCGGTTTAGCATCCTTCTTGGAGAGTAAGTATCGCAGGGCGGCGTGATCGGTGTAGACTATGACTTTGGA